CGACTTTTTGACTCTTTGACAACTTTTGGTTCAGTTGTAAGAGATCGATGGTTATTTTCAATTGGTCATTGTCAATTTTCGATGACTGGTCATTCAACGTTCTTATCTCCTTTACACATCACTCGGGCTATTATTTTACTGTGCGCTTTTTAAGCCAAATATGTTGTTCATATTGTAAATTACCTGCATCGCCACTTTGAATTCAAATTTAAAGAATTGTTTTAATTTGGTTTCGTCCAATACAATGTTTTTAGTCCAATATTAATATGAAATAAGCAACAAATAATAAGTCATAAAATAAAAGCAAAAAATGTTCACTAAAATGATACATAACATAAACATATTTATTTAAGAATATATCCCCGTATATGAAGCCATAAAGTTCAATGATACTAAAAATCCAACTGCTTTTGCGTCAGTCCGTCCATCCTTTTACCTTTTGATACTTCTACAATACTGCTTCTCCCGAAGAACCTTTTTTCGTAGTCTCCTTCCACTAATGCTTGCAGTTAAAACACACTTTCGAAGTTTTCAAAAGATTAAATGCAGACTTCAAAGTGACAATTTCCAAAAATGGAAGGCGAAATTTGTCCCAGCCGATATATATCTCTGGTTCTTCTCAACAAACCTGCATCGCTAAAGTTCCATTCCGGTTGATTGAAGTTAGAGCTTTTTGTATTACTTGTATCCCTTTGACCTTTGCCATGACATTATTACGCTGATTTCTACAGTAATAGCAACGGCACGACGATTATTTCCCACATACTCAGGCAAAGAAGCTAGTTTTTGACTCGTTTCATCTTTTTTTTTAGCTGCCAAGAACTCAAGAACTATTTTCCATTATTTCCTCATGCGCCAATTTTCTTCTTTTCCCATTCTGCAATTCAGTCTTTAATCCTTTTTCCCCTAGTTGCAATTTTTATCTGTGACAATTCTAACCATAATTTAAAGTCACTGCAGGATTTCCAACAGATTTCCAAGAGTGCTGCAGACGTTCTTCGCTTGACCCATTGATGGCAAACTTTTCAGATTCTTACATAGGGGAATTATAAACTCCCTTTATCATAATGTTCGTACAGCACTGCCAGAATTGTTCAACAATCTTCCCGAATGACAAAGTTTTCTCAACTGCCGCATGAGCAAGGCAGCAAGTAGCCTTGCCTTTTAACATTTGGGATAAGCTCATCCAGGTTTAGTCACTGATGCTTCGAGATAACTCATAATTCCAGATACTGCTGCTGTAGATTTCCAGAAAGTTACCCCAATTGTAATTCCGAGAGCTTCACAATCTCTCGGTCAAGTTTAATGTTTAACATTTGATACTCGTGCTCTCAGAAGACCCAATTGCTTTGGTTCCCTCATGGCACAGAAGACTATGATTAGCAGCATGTTTATCACTATTCTTCCGCCATTTGATCTTTCTGCAAGGAGGCATTGTTGAGTGCGTGAGACTCAATGTTTTTCCATTTGTTGAGGTATCTCTTACTGAAAACGAGAACGTTTCATAAGTTGCAATTTGTCTCCACAATTCCGATCATCCATCGAAGTTACCGGTGTTTTTATCAAATAGCGTTATAGGTTGTCTTTCGTTAGTCAAGAGACCAGAGAATACTTCCAAACATTGTAGTAATTGGCGGCTTATACAACGTAAAAGTAACATGAGTTTTCAAATCATAACCAATATGACCTAAAAAAAACAGTACGATGAAGTGTAGTAAAGGTTTTCTTTTTGATTCAGAAAAACCTGGCAGCCGATGTTGTGAAAGTTTGTCGAGAGAAGATACAAGAAAAAGTTGAATCGGAAATTTGTTGGAAAATGACTCCCTCACTGAATATTGCTGTAAGGTGCGAACCTTTGAGCTGTAACCACAAACAGCGAATTTAGTAAAACAGTTTATTAGCTGACATGTTGAAAACGGCAAACAATGCAAAATCAAACAATAGAGGGGAAATAATATGTTAAGATCAACGTTAATTGGCAAACTGACGAGGAAGAACAAGGAAAGGAATAAATGGGATATATAGGAAGCAAGTGAGAGGAGCTTACAATGTCTGAAAAGGATAAATATACATATGCATGACGGCAACAAGGGGATTTATAACACAATTCCCAGACGATACAGTAATAGGCAACACCCTGTCCAAAGGGGACTCTTGTCTATTAGCGTATGTATATATAAATGGCTAATAGGGATAAGCGAAAAGAGGGGAAATTCAAACATTACCAATTAATATGAATCAAAATCAAATCAAGGGAAGTTGTTTCGGGTTTCCCGACAGGCGACAGTTTTATTTGGACCATACGAGAATCATCAGATTCTTAAGAATAACAGCTTTTAAGAACAAAAACAAGACAAAACAGAAATGGACATTCTATGGGAGAGTAACCGATGTATCGCATGAACACATATCAGCTAATGTATTTATCGAAAAGGAGCAGAAGCATCCTTTACTAGGAATTTTTTTTAGAATAATTTTCACAAGATGGCATTAAATGATAGTGACAAAGCTGCTTATCTCTTTGCATCTCCTGTAGTATACGGAGACGAAAAACTGCTGTGCGTTCATTTCTGGTTGCCGATTGGGTTTTCTCGGCATATTTTGAATGTTAAACACTAGCATGCGGGTGCACGATTGATCCGCAATATGCCGCTCTATTCACATAACGTCGTTAGTGCGCATTGTCTTTCCTAGTCGATGTAGACGATTTTCAGATCGATTTACTCGCAATCAGGAATTCGTTTAGATACTATCTTGTTTTGTCAAGATCCGTGGGAAGGAAACGTTGATAAAACTTGTCAATTTCAAAAGACAGTTATCTGGCCAGCTGGCATTAGTGAAATCGATTCTCC